GATGACATAAGTTATTTGAAGGAAAAGCTGCAAGCTCATCCAATCCTTGGAGATCCTACCCGAGTTTTGTTACTTAATTGCCATGGTTCTATGGCTAGTTCTGAGCAGGTATTCTTTATTCTCTGTTTGGTGTATATTCTAAGATCTTCAGGCTGGCAGGCCGTTTTCTCATTTGCCCTTCCCATACATGATTAAATTCCAAATAAGTTTTTCTGATTCTTGCAGAAGCTAATTTTTGAAGAGCCTGAAGATGGAGAGAGGAAAATATTATTGACTACTAATATTGCTGAGACGAGCATAACAATTAATGTTGTTTTTGTGGTAAGGAGACATCGTACGATGAACTGAATAACACTCCTTGTTTGCAACCGTCGTGGATTTCCAAGGTTTCTGCTCTACAAGTAAGGCTACCATCTGATTACAGGTATGATCTCTAATCTATGTTGAGGTTAAACTGATCGGTAATTTATCTTTGCTATGTCAGTGAAGTGTCTAGTATATTTCGACTTGAACGTTCATTTTATTATCTTTAATTTGAAGGTTTGTTTCTGACGATTTGTTGAGAATGCTTTTGCTAGGCTATTGCTGTTTTGCATAATAATTTGCTCTAGGTGCTGTTCGGGGATGAATCTTTTCCTTCTAAGATTAATTGAAACAAAAACTGTCAAATAAATCGATTTCTCAAGAGAACATGAACCAATTATCCAACAAAACATGCAGATTTTCTTTTTCATTTGTTGTTCAATATGCATGATGTCTTATGGTCTCGTATTGGTTGTTGAATACACAAACATTGAAAAAACAAGGAATTTGATATTGCCCCCTTTTCACTATTAAAGGCATGATTAATGGGGGGGGGGGGGAATAAAAGCTTAAGAAATTTTAGAGAACCTCTAGAAAAAGTTTGCTTAACCCGAAAGGCTTTGAAGTGCATTTTTAGTCTTGTACTATGACATAGAGCATAGGCAGCACCTAGGCGCTGACTTTAATAGCAATTGATTTCCTGGTTGGCCTTAGCGAACCTTTGCTGTAGGTTTTGTGTCTATTGATTCAAGTTCAGCCACTTTTTTTTCATTTTCACCAATTTAACAAGATTCTTCTTAAATTACATGGTCGTTTTAAGAATATTCCAGAAAATGAGTTCTTTGCCTCTAGCCAGACATGTTCATCTTTCTTGACTCCAAAATGTTTTACTGTAGTGGGTAAACATCTGATGCAAGTTTGACTTAGTCTTTTGTTTCTTTTCCATGTTGAATTTGACTGGTAAATCTAATGCAGGTTTTAATTGCTCATTAGATAGGGGACCTATTGGTCATGTATTTGGAAGTTAAGAAAAAGTGAGTTTGCTGTAAAAATTTACTGAAGAGTAGAGATACGAAACATTTAGTAATATAAGCTAGAAAAACATACCAACAAAGTTGAATGGAAGGCTAGAGAGTGAGTATAAAAACATTTTTGAAAGGTTGGAGTCAAAAGATGGAGATAAAGATATTTATAGGTTTTTGGATGAGAGTAAAAAATCAGAGATTAGGGAACTATTAGGTAGATTATGATCGTTGCGAAGGATGAGGAGATTAAAGAGAGATGATTGGATTGTTTTGATAATCTCTTCAACTGTAATTACTCCAGTGATATGGGTGACTTGACTATACTATTGGAGGAACTAAATTGTGACTTTATTTGTACCTTTGATGTCTAAGAGGCTTTACATTTAATATAATTAGAAAAGGTGACAGGCTTAGATGCATTTCCTATTGAGGTTGTGATGAAGTTCGATTGAGTGGGTGATGCACTTGTTTAACAAGATTGGGCTAAGTAATGATATTTTGATCAGTGAAGGAAGAGTAATGTGGTGCCTTTATATAAAGACAACAATCACATTCAGGACTACTCAAGCTATTGTGGAATAAACCTTATGAGTCATATTGTCCAACTTTGGGAAGGGATTATCGGCCAATATTTAAAACAAGATGATAAGATTATGGAAAATTTGTTTGGTTTCATGCTAGGATAATTCACCATGAAAGCAATTCATCTCTTGCTACTTATTGAGAGGTTTGGAATATCAGGGAGACTTACACACGTTTTTTTTATTGATTCCAAGAAACTTATGATGCTACCTAGAGGGGTTCTTCTGTGGGCTTTGAACAAGATGGCAATTCCTTTAAAATATTTTAATAAAATACGATACCTGTACAAGGGAGTAGATATGAACGCAAGGACTTGTGATGGGTTGACCTTTTGAGTTTCCATTACAATAGGGGTGCACCTAGGATCAACATTGAATCATTCTCTTTTTCACAGTAATATTTGAAATAACAACAGGCATTCTAGATGAAATACCTTGGTTTCACTACAAGAAAATATATCTTTAATGACACACGAACGATGACACACGTTAATTTATGATTTGCAAAGTATGTGTGTCATAAAAAATGTCACGTTTTTTTAAAATATGAACGATTTATGACTTACAATAATGTGTGTCATATTTAATAGTCATAATCCAAAAAATTTACAAAAACACGGAGTACAGTTTTAATTGTGTGTCATATGTAAAAGCCGTCTTTTAATTTCCCCCCTCTTATTTTCATCCTTTCCCGCTTCTTCCCCGACATTATATGTGTCCAAATCTCTCATCTCAAAAAATAAAAAATCTCCCAATAAAAAATAGATATTCATCGAATCTCTTATGAATCATTTGTTTTCTCAATGGCAGAGGAGGCCGGCGGAGGTTCATCGTCGGATAGAGGAGGAGGAGGAGAGATCAGAAGAGCAGTAGGATCAGGCTCGATGGATTCGTTGGAATCTCGTTGGGTGTTCCCAGGCGAAGACGAATCTGAGATCGAGGACGAGGAAGATAATACAGATGTGTTTGTATGCAGCTGGAGTAGACTCCGAAGACGAGGATAGTCCGATGTAATGTTTGATTCGCACCGAACCGCGCGTTGATTCTTTCGACGTTGAAGCTCTCGAAGTCCATGGCGCGCATAGAAGTGACTACAAGGTATATTGTTCTTGTTTCATGATGCTAATGCAATAAATCAGTCCTCTGTTTGTAATATTGAAAAATCGAATTTGTTTGGAATCTAACTTTATCGCGTTGAGGTATACCTTTTTTTAATGTGCTTTAATTTTGCAGCTTACTTTTATGTGTATACTTGACTTTTGATCTTAGGACTTTGGTATTGGAAGGATAATAATACATGTGTTTCAGACTCTTGGTGTTGTATTTGGTGATGTTGGAACAAGTCCTTTATATACGTTTAGTGTGATGTTTAGCAAGACACCTATCAACGGAGATGAATATGTTATTGGAGAACTATCACTGGTTCTATACACTCTACTCGTGATTCCACTTGTCAAATATGTCCTTATCGTTCTTTGGGCTAATGATGACGGTGAAGGTATGCCAAATGTTCCTCAATCCCAATCAAGTCCTTATTTATGATCTTTTATGCAGGCCTTAAACAAATATGTTAAATATTAATTCCATGTCAATTGTTTGACATCTTTTGTTGCTGTATTTTATGATCTTTCATTCTTTTATGTAGGCCTTAAACAAATATGTTAAGTATATATTCCTTGTCAATTGTTTTACATCATTTGTTGCTGCTATTTTCTTGAAGGTGGTACTTTTGCATTTGTACTCATTGATTTCTCGGCATGCTATGGTCAGTCTTCTCCCGAATCTGGTTCCATCAGATACCCGAATATCTGGCTTCATTCTAAAGGTACCGTCTCCTGAGCTCAAGAGATCACTTAAAATAAAGGAGAGACTAAAGACTTCATTGACTCTGAACAAACTTCTTCTGATGTTAGTGTTTGCTGGCACTTCTATGGTAATAGCTGATGGGGTTGTTACCCCATCAATGTCAGGTTTTTATGTGTTACTGTTCTTTCATCTCTTTTGTTTACGGAATCATGCTATGGTAGAATACAACATAATTGTTTTATTAAATCTATTTTTATTTTTAATTTTTAGATGATAACTTTTGCATTTTTATTTGTAGTTATGTCTTCTGTCGGTGGTCTGAAGGTTGGAGTTAGTGCAATTGAACAAAGTAAGCTGTTATTCCATGTTGTTATCAACTCTATAAAACATTATTGCTTTGCTGACTCACATTTCACTGTTTGTTAGTAAATACTGTTAGAGAGGACATTCTTGTTTCTAATTGACCTTTTTGGCTAGGAATCTTTTGCATAATTTAACTTGTATGTTATTGAAAATTATTTGTTATTTTGAATATATCATGTGATGGTTATTAACCTGTAGATCTCATAGTTTGATCATGAGTCTATAATTCTTCATTGTGTTTCTGCAGCTGCCTTTTTCGTGATCATGTGTTGTTTGTAATGATAGTTTAACTTTAGTCGGACTAGAGTTTCCAGTCTAGCTAAATGTTAAATATGTATGTATTAGAAACAATATGGCCTTTTTTCTTTTGCCTTCCCTCCTTTACATCCTATGGTTTATGTTCCTTTATGATTTTCTATATTATTACAGGTAAATAGTCATTAACTATTGTGTTTCCTTATTTTCTTTTCTTTATTTGCAGATGAAGTGGTGATGATATCGGTTGCCTTTCTTGTAATTTTGTTCAGTGTACAGAAGTTTGGAACAATTCAAGTAGGACTTGTTGTAGGCCCTGCTTTGTTCATATGGTTTTGTTCTTTAGCAGGCATTGGAATTTACAATCTTGTTAAGCATGATGCAAGTGTCTTGAGGGCATTTAATCCTGTTCACGTCTATTTATACTTCAAGAGAAACTCAACTATGCGCTTGGAGGTTGTCTTGTATGCGCAACAGGTAAACACATTGATAAAAGATATCATGTGCTTCAAAACTTGCACTTCAGTTGCAAGTGTGGAGAGAGCTAGTAAAAGAATATCTTGATGTTGTAATCTAATTTTTACACCACTAATTTTCGGTTAAACTTTGTCAGGTAACCATCTTCTAGTAAAAGATCACTGAACTATCGACTTGATTCTAATTTTTACACTAATTTTTCTCTAGGGACTCGCAGCTTGCAAAATCTAATCAGGTAACCATCTTCTTCTTTTCTTTTATTATTTCATGTGAATTTAGTGTTTCTCCCCTTTAGACTTAAGTTTAGATATGGATTAAATAATTTCCAGACTTATATGCATATTGCTTGTTCAGGATGCAATGAGAAACATATTAATCGTATTTTCCAAGTTAAATTCGGGCATAAGATATGTTCAAGGAATGAATGAAATCTTGGCACCTCTATTTTATGTATTCAAGAATGACCCTGATGCGGAAATGGCGGTAAGATCTCATTATTGTCCCTACCCAGTTCTTTTTTATTAAATCTCTAACATGTGATTGTTTTGATTTTCATGTATTGAATATGAAAGGAGGTTTTCATGATTTTCTTATTTCTATTTGCAACTCCATTGAATTAAATCCATCCATTTTCTTTCCCCAAGATACCCAAAAAGTTTAAACAAAAACAATAACTTTCAAATAGATTACAGCTTTTGAAAAACAATATGGTAATGTTCATTTATCATTATTGTTATCAACTTGGCAGACATATATATATATATATATATATATATCATATGCACCAAATATGGAGTATCTATGCCAACATATAGCCATAGACCAATTACAATTTTAGTAAGAATAACATGAAGCTGACACATTCTTTTGTTTTGTTGAGTTATTGAGTGGATTTCATGATCATTTCTGCCAGCAACTTGACAACAGCAATGTGGGAATTAGTTCCACAATTTCTAGGTTGTCACAGCTTCTGAAGGAACATGATGAAGAGCTTTGGCGTCATCTAGAGATCACAAATAAAGTAAGATATTGTTGCAAAATTTAAACATCTTTTATATCTTGACTCATGCTTGCCTCTTACCTGCAAAATTTTGAACACTTTCACCTTTGTTGTTTTACGCAGCTTGTCAAGGTAATTAGTTGGGCTTGAATGCTAACTGTTGTGTTTAAATATCACACAGGTCAACCCCCAGTTTTACGCATTCAGGTGGATTACTTTGCTCTTGACACATGAATTCAACTTTGCGGACAATCTCCACATATGGGACACGCTTCTTAGTGACCCTGAAGGCCCTCTGGTATGATTGCAATTTTTATCTCACTCAATTATCTAGAACTTTTCTCTAAGATTAGGGGAGGAGATTAGGGATGACAACAGCATGGACCGGGTCAGATTTTTTATCGTCTTAGCCCAGACCCAAAAGTTAGGAGTTTTCACCCAACCCCGATATCAGTAAATTTTAATCCAACCTATCATTCAACAACCCCAAAATTTTAAATAAAAAGCCCAACCCTCCCTGTCCCAACCCCATAAAAATTAATACAAACTTTAAATATGTTGTATAAAATTAATTATAAAAGAAAATGTTGAGTTAATCGAATGACGAAATTGGCCAAGAGGGGGGTGAATTGGCAATAAAAATTTTGTGGAAGCTTTTGCAGAAAATTGAAAATAATTGCACATCGATTTACAGTGGTTCGACTTTCTCAAACAAAGTCTACGTCCACTACCTTAGCTATCCACACTAAGGATTTTCCAACAAATTCACTAATTTGTTCTTTCTTTTGAGGCCAAAGAGATAACCTTACAATTCCCTCAAGAGTATACCCCAACTCTTGAGAACACTCTTTTCTCAAAGAGAAGATTACAAATTTGCAAACTTACAAGAAAACCTCACAAGGTAAGATGTTTGCACAATTCTAGAACAAAGAAAAGAACACTCAAAGATGAATACAATTGAGCACAAAAAGTGTTCTTGAAAGCAAAATGAATATTGAATAAAAATGGGCTTTGAAATGCTCAAACTTGAGGTTTGATGCTTTCTCTTTGATTCTCTCTTAATTCTAGTTGCTTGATGTTTCTTGTTATTGATCAATGGCTTCTAAGCTTGCTTAAATACACCTTGGATCACTTCTGAACGTTGGGGATAATTAGAGAAGATATTATAGCCGTTTTAGTGTGAAAACATTTAATAAAACAGCTTGGAGCGTGGGGGGAATCGGTTCCCTCTCATAGGGAATCGGTTCCCTAAGTGTAAAATTCAAATATTTCGACCGTTGAACAGGGGGGAATCGGTACCCCCTTGGGGGGGAATCGGTTCCCTTCGAGCATACTGGAATTCTCGGAACAAAAATGTTTTGGGGGGAATCGGTTCCTCCTATGGGGGAATCGGTTCCCTCCGAGCATTCTGGAAATCTCGGAGCCAAACCATTCAGGGGGGAATCGGTTCCTCCTATGGGGGGGAATCGGTTCCCTCTGAGCAATCTGTAATTTTTGGCTTTGAATTGGTTCGAAATACTTTGTAAAATTATTTTGAAATTGTTTTATGATTAAAACTTAATTTTACACTTAAGTAAGGATTAAAAATGATTTTTGAAATATTTGGAGTAATGTTTTGATTATTCGAATAGTTATATCGAATATACTTAGAAAATCATTTGGAAAATCTTAAAATCCATTTAACTTAATTTGTTATATCGAAATATTAAAATGTTTCAACAATCTCCCCCTTTTTGATATAACAAAACATTTTAGTAATTTTAAGATTTTTGAAATCAAGTTTTGAAATTACTCCCCCTTACTTTAACACTTCTTCAATTTATCATGTAAAACATTTAACACTTATTCTTCTCCCCCTTTTTGTTAAATCAAAAAGACATTGTAAAACAAGGTTATGAAAATCATTTAGCCAATTGATTTATTAATTATAAGCTTAAGCTGCTAAGATCACAATCAAAAGAGAGGTTAGCCATTAGTTTCATAAATCAATATTCATAAATAATGTGATATGGCAAAATTGGTCATATTACTAATGATAATGTAAATGATGCAAAAATGAATAAAACACCAAACATATAAGTTCACACCATTCATAAACCCAAAATCCAACAATCCACAAAATCAAACAATTCAAAATGTTGAAACAATATTCATTTTGTTCAAAGTTTTAATGATAAACATAAAATTAAGCATCCGGATCGGTAGGAGGAAAACGGGCTCGCATAGCGGCCATCTCGTGTGTGAGTTCATTGATACGAGCGTTGGTTGATTCATTGTTTGCACGCATCTCCTGAAGAATCTCTAATTGTTGAGCTCCCATTGTGGATAAATGAGACTCTATAGAGGAAAAGCGCGAGTCCATGGTAGCGTATCGGAAATCGAATGTCTCCATAAAGGATTGAAAATATGGAGGCATTTGATGCGTTTGTTGTGCTTGCTCCTCGGGCTGCTCTTCGGGTTGTTCAGGTTCTTCTTCAGCTTCATCAATATCCCTCATTAATTGTTCAAACTCGGGATCTTCGTCAGCCTCGGGTGGAGCTTGTGAAGAACTAGCTCCCGGAGTAGAAGAACGAACCCATTCACCGGTTTCTTTGTCCTTTACCCATCCCGCTCTCGTTAAGGAAAGAAGATTTATTTGTTTCTTAAGAGGAAAAACGGCATCTAGACCGACTCTAAGCCCAGCTTTGGAAAACAGATTACTCAAAAAGCAACCGTAAACTAGAGATGAACAGTGTTTCTTGTTAGGAACAAGATTTACGGTTTCAACAATTTCAGCAAAAATAATCTGAGGTAGGTTAATTTTAATACGGTTTTCGAAACAATGTAACCACCAAAGATCCAAAGCTCTAAGAGTAGAATAACGACTTCCGGATGGTCGAAACCACCAAGAAATCATTAGATGAAGAAAACGCTCATGTAGGTCTAAGACACTCGCACTATCTCTTCTTTTATAACGAGAACCTAAAATTTGTTTTTCATTCGAGATACCATCATTATCTAATCCAAATGTATTGGCTATATATGCCGGGTCAATATATAAGAATTGTCCTAGGAGGTAGGAACGAATTCCTATGGTTTCGGTTTCAGCTTGGTTTTTAACACATACGACATTAGAGTAGAATATACGAACAAGTTGATGGTAAACGATGGGTTCAAGATCAAATAGTTTATCAAATTTCCATTCTTGTAAAATGGGAAGATATTTAAAATCAATAGCTAACATAGCTTGACGAGAAGGAATACGTTCTTCCCGGATTTTGTAAGAATCGAAATATTGATAATACCAAAATCGGTGATTTCTAGACCCAGGATGATTAAAACACGAATTTTGAATAGTCAAGTTAGGATCAGTGGGATTGGGATTAGAAATTGGAATAGAAGGAGGATTTGGAGGTGGATTTTGTTGACGACTAGATGAAGACCTAGGACGTTTAGGATTTGACATGGTGAAGGAAATCGGAATAGATAGAATAACCTGCAATTTTAAAACAAATGTATGCAACTCAATTAATCCCAAAACTCAATTGAGTCCTCAATATTTCAAGGTTCTCTAAATCAATCCTAATGGGCAAAGTTTTTGAGAAACTTTTGAAAAATATGGTTTTGAGAAACAATATATGTATAGTTTTCATAATAACAACATAATTTAATCAAAACACAATAATTTGAAAAATAACAATTTTTTTTTTCGAAAATTAAAAAAAAATTGAAAAAATCTTGTGTTTTTGATGAAATTAGTTGTAACATCTAGTTTCTAATCACTAAATAATCAATGCCCGATCACTATTTCAACCTAGAACTAATTAAAACTAATCCTATGTTCAAAAATAATGAAATAAAGAGTTTAGAAAAATTACCTTGAAAGATGAAGATTGAGGGGATTTAGATGTTGTTTGCACGACTTTAATGATTTCAACAGGTTTAGAAGATGATATATGAAGTAAATTCCGATTAATATCGTCGATTTGAGACAAAAATGGAGATTTGAGGGTGTAGGAGGTGAAAAACGGCGGAAGAGAGAAGAAAATGAGGGTTTGGGATTTTGGGGGTGTTCTGTCGATTTTAACAGAACCCCAGGGGGGTATCGATTCCCCTGTGGGGGGAATCGGTTCCCCTTCAAAGGGGGAATCGGTTCCCTCAGGGGGGGATCGATTCCCTCTGCACCAAAATGCTAAAATCCGATTTTTTAAGCACAAAATGCTAAATTAATCTTTTCTAGTGGTGTTGGCAACTCATATATCAAACATTAATTATGTTCAAATAATTAAATTAATCTTTAATTGATTTTTGAACATAAAATTAATTTTCATTAAGAATCACAAACTCCCCCTAACTAATAGCAAGAATGCAATCAAAAATTATTATTATAAGCATTTTTCAAGATTTATTAAAAGTGCTAAAATTATTTTAAACACTAAGTGAAGATAGGTTGGTTAAACCTAATTCTCTCCTAAGTGTCCAAAATCTTTCCTTGTCTAAGGGTTTTGTAAAGATATCCGCTAATTGGTGCAAAGTATCAACAAATTCTAGAACTACATCTTCCTTAGTGACATGGTCTCTAATGAAGTGATGTCTTATTTCAATGTGCTTCGTTCTAGAGTGTTGGATGGGATTTTTAGTGAGACAAATAGCACTAGTATTGTCACACTTGATAGGAATAGTACCTACTTCAATTCCATAATCAAAAAGTTGTTGTTTCATCCATAAAACTTGTGCACAACAACTACCAGCTGAAATGTATTCGGCTTC